TTGAAAACTAATGGTTGAAAGCCTCCAATTAGCACTTAGCCTGTGCACCCCGTGGCCTGCTGGAGCAACTCTTTACAAGATCGTAGGGGCACCTGGGTGGCTCAGTTTGGTTAAACATCTGACTTCAGCTCAGGGCATGATCTCACAGTTCATGAGTTGGAGCCCCCGACAGGCTCTGTGTTGACACATTCTGTGTCTCCCTCTCTCTCTGCCTTTACCCCACTCACACTCTGTCTCTCTCCCTCTCTCAAAAATAAACACTAAAAAAAAAAAAAAAAGCCAAAAAAAAAAAAAAAAGATGATAAACCTCTTGTGAGCAGGACCACAAATGAAGTCTCAGCAAACACCCTGTGAACAGCGACTTGCTCAGGGATGATGCCCAGCAGCTCAGTTGGTCTAAAGACTAGCTAACTAGATACTTGCTTCATGGATTGATAGAGAGGCCAGCATCTGCCCCGGCTGCTTCATGTAGATACTGTGAGAGAAATCTGAGATAATGTATGTGAACATATTTTGAAAGCATGAATGTATAAATGTAAGGTATTAATAAAATTGGCCAAGTTCATTTGTTCATCTACATTTCTTAGCTTGTCTTCCCCCACCCAGGAATAAGAACAATGAAAAATTCTTACTTCTGTCCTGAAATTTTCTTTATTCTTCTAGAGTGGTATCAGCTCTATCGTTTATTAACTGTGAGGCCGTTAGTGCCTTACTTAATCTCTTTGAATCTCAATTTGTTCATCGGTAAACTAGAAATGATAATATTCGTTTTATAAGACTGTTTTGAGGATCAGTGAAGTAATATATGCAAAGTACCTAACACCCAAAGAAGTGACAAAGGAAGCACTTAGTAAATACTAGCTGCTCTGTTTTTGGAGTGTCTTTAAATACTCCTCTCTAAAGAAGAGAAGAGGTGGCAAAGACAATAAAAAACAGCAAATAGACTGAATGCCTTGTCCATTTAGCCTAGTAAAGGCGTCTTTCACTAACTCCACTCTTTCTGCTCACATCTATACACATTGCCCTGTCCATCCAGCCCCTCCTCACCACCCTGCATCATACAGGATGTTTTCTTCCCACTTGCACATACTGCCTCTTGAACTGCTGTTATCCCCTCGATCACCCAAACCAGAAGCCAGGGAATCCACTGGTAAAGCTCCAGAGGGTCAATTGCCCCACCCGCTGGAGACCTGTGGCAGCTCAGACCTTCATCAGTCCTTCTTGAACTATTGCAGGACGCCCCTAATATTGTTCCTACTGTCCAGGCACAGCCCCTTCAAAACCATTCTCCACTGCGTTCTAAGCTGACATTCCCCTACTCAACGTCCTTCAGTGATTTCTCACAGCTCAGAAAGATCAAGTCCAAGTACTCAGGCAAGACCCACCATGTCCTGCCTAGCCCCAGCTCTCAGCCTCATCTCCCTGTGCTTGCACCTTACTCTTAGGGAATACTTGGCATTTCAAGCTGTTCTTCATATTTGGACTTTTAGACACATTCTTCCTCCTTCTTGGTATGCCCATCCCCTTCCTGCTTGTCTACCTGCAAGCTCCTCTTCATCCCTTGGTGGTACCCACATCAAGGCATTTTTTTAAATATACACTTACACCAGGTAATCAGTGGCATGGAATGTAGTCAAATGACAGTGCTTCCTGCCCTTTTCCCCAGCACTCCTGAACATATGAAGTACTGGATCGTTGTATCATATGTCCACCAAGAAATGTAATCAAAAGAAGATTCTGAATATCCTACAACACATATAAAAACAAATGCAAAGTGCATGGACCAACTTCCCTGGGTGTCCAACCAGGTCTCCCCCATGGCTGATGCATCATAGTCCCAGACTGACATGCCCAACTGTGGGTGCGTATCTTCCACACTGCGGTCTCACAGCTTCTCAGTTTGCTAGGAAATCCTATAAATATTCTCCTTTTGGTTCTTGTGAGAGCTTGGGCAATGTATCCGCTTTGGAATGTATAAGTCACTCCTTCTCCACGGGAGAGGCCTCTCACTTGGGCCACAGCAGCCCGTGGGAGCCTCTGCCATCACCACCTCGGGATGTACCTGCAGCTCTGCCCTTCCTTTCACTCTTCCAGCCCTGTCTTTTTTCCTCTCCTCTTCCCTCCCCATCTCTTGGGTTGGTTTTTAATCTACTTCTATATCTGCCTGGCCAAATGAAAAGATACTTGTCACAGGAAGGGTAAAAGCAGATATACTAAAATTGTCTACTGGCCAAAGTTTACTGAGCACTTAATACATGCCAGGGACTATGCTAAGTGCTTCATTGTGTTAACTCATCCAATCCTCATGATGAACCTGTGAGTCAGGAACTTTTGTTTCCTCCAGTTTCATAGATGAAGAAACTCTGACATGAGAGGTGAAATCACTTACCCAAGTCCCCACAGCCAGCAAGCGGCAGAGAAAGAATTTGACCTCCAGGGCCCCTACTGCCATATTCCTACCTGTGAGAACTGCAACAGCTTTGGGGGTGTACTTTAACATCCCATTCAGCTGTCTACTCTATGGGGCTTCTTGACCACCTTGCCTTTAAAGGAAAAAAAAAAAGGATAGAGATAAAAGAAAATGGACAATGTACTTCTTCCTTTATGCTGTCTCTATGTACATGCTTTTATCATTGCACACGCCATACTTCAATGGCAGGACTTAGAACTGTGCCTTCTCAGCAGCCTTCCTATTCTGGATTAGCACACAGGATCGCTTCTCAGCCTTTTGGCTAAGGTCAAGTGTGGATTAGCACACAGGAGTTTGTTAAAATGAAGAGATTTTTCTAGAAACAGCCTAATTACAGAGTGGCCTTTGCCAGCTTGTTCCACGACAGCCATGGTCTTGTTTCATCTCTTTCATGGGCCAGCTGACTGAAGCCACAGGACTGAAAGACATTGCAGGGCCTGCATATGGTGGGAAGGCTTCTAACGGAAGGACACAGAAAATGAGGTAAAAGAACAGAAGGATGTTTGAGAAAAAATCCATGCCACTGTTGGACCACCGCTCTCTTTGTTTTCCTTTTGAACCAGAAGCCTTCCTGAGCCCAAGGGTGAGTATGATATTATACTGTGGCCATCCTCAGGATTAAAATTTTTTTAAGTGAACACAAAATAAAAGCTATCTGGACTGTAGAAAATGTCTTCTGTGGGGCCACTGTTGCTCAGACCTGGGCGTGAGCTGGTGACAGCCGAATGGGCATTTGTGCGCATACCACCTTGCTGCACCACCCTGGGTGCCGTGCGTGTGGGGCTTCTCAGCGTCGCCACATCCTGGCTTTCTTTGTGCTAACAGGTACAAAGTGGGTCTCCCACAAGAATAGCCTGATAAAAAGAAGGCTCCTGGGCCTTCTGGAAACATCCATACCCCAGCTTTTGGGGGAAAAGTTGGAGAATGATAGCAGGGAAAGGAAGGAAGGTCAAGGCTGGGGACCCCACAGAGGAAGAGGAAGAGGCAGGGGGCAGGGCAGGGCTCTGCTCTCCCTGTGCTTGTTCCTGTAACTGTGTATTCCAGATGGAGAGTTGTCTGCTGGAGGAAAAGTGCACCTGATAGCTCCGTCTTTGTAAGAGAGCAGAGGAGAGTCCGCTTATTAGGACATTGACTGTGGCCAATGAAATGCTGTATCGATGCATCTTGTGGTAAACTGGTCCTTTTCTGTCCTGAACATTCTCAGCTGGTGCAGATAGCTTCCGTCCTACAAATGAGTCCTTGCCTATGTGATAGGCAGCAGACACAGGCTGAAGTAAATACCCCCAGTCATCCCTTTCCATCTATCAGCTGGCATTCATAGCACCTTACCTTCCGCCTGAGAGGAGAGAATCATAATACAAACTAAGTGGCAGTCTCCTGTCCTTGCTTTCTTGGGCCTGGAGGGTGAGCATCAGAGAAGGTTCTGGAACAAGGAAGAGGGTAGAGCATGTTGGCAGCTGGCAGTCTTTGAATGTACCTGCTAAATGGGCCTATTCTCTCCAGTCCCCTTTGTAGGATTATATGACCATAGGGAAGAAGCAGAGGCAAACCTTTATTTACCAGTTTTACATTCTTCTACTTGCCATTTGCACCTGCTCTGACACTGACCTTAAGACATGGAGACTTCTACATTTGGGACTGCGGAAAATCTGACTAAAATATATACAGCCAAATTCTCACTTTGTGCTGGCCCCCAAACCACAAGGGCTATCTTCTGAATCATTCATTGTTTCTCCAACTTTGTTTCTGGTCTGCTCTAATTTTTTTTTTTTTTTTGATGACTAATAGATTTTAGGGGCACATTTTTAAAAGTTGAAGAGAATTGAAGTGTGAAGAAATGGTTTTGAGGTTGATAAAGTTTCTTTTTTGGATAAAACTCCCTTTTGCCATAGGCTGCTAAAAATGTATTTTAAAAGAAAGATGTTAAGCCACATCCTGTTTGGGAAATATCCCTTAGTTTCTCTTCTAGGAGACATTTAAGAACAGAGTGGAAAGAGCACTTTTATTTTCATTTCTGGCAGTAGTCAGCTCTTTTGCTGATTGCTTAACAGGAGGCCTCTCAAGGATGTCAGGAAAGGCAGAATAACCAGCACAAAAGAGCAATGAGACAAGTCCTCTGGCTTTAGACTCTGGGAGAACCATTGAGAGAAGAAGGGAAATGTCTGAGCCTGTAGAACTCCTGGTTTCACTCCTGCTGCTGCTATTGCTCTGAAGAGCCAACCAGGAGCCAAGGATGCAAGGGGGTATCTCTGAGATTCCCCTGTCACCTTTCTGCACCCCCCCCACCCTCAGCTTCCCTTTTGTGGGTATTCACAAAGAGCAGGTGGAATCAGCTTCTAAAATGTCCAATTGCTAGTGTTGTGAGTTGGGTTTCCTAGGAAACGGAAACCAAGGTGGAGATTTGTGTGCAGGTGGATTGTTGGAATGTGCTCTCTGGAACAACACTGTAGGGACATGGGGGAAACAGGGTGACAGAGAAGTTGTATTGTGATGCAATCACAACTAAGGCCTCAGCGTTAAAGCTGGGGCGGCCTCCTCAAATTGAGTCAAGGGAGCTTTCTGGACCCTCATGTCAATCAGATCCTGGCTGACCAGCAAGGGACATTACTATAACTGTAGGCCAGATACCTGCCTTCAGCTAAGGACAACTCTTGGGGAGAGACTCAACTGAGAGCCAAGCCTCTGGCAAACAATACTCCTAGAGCAGCTGGTGCAGTGAGTGCCTCGGCCCTGAAGGGGGATGCTAGCCAGTGCACTACAGTCCATCCCTTGTGCACTAAAATCTGCTTTTTGGTATAAGAAACATCTCATTTGAAACATGTTCCCTAGGATTCTTCAGCTCTCTGTGGGAACTTAAAATAAGGTTAGTAACACGAATTACAGCCCCCACAGCTAAAGCTGATCTTGAAACAACTGATCCTCATTGTCTACCACTTATTCTCAATTTTCCTTAGCCTCAGCTAGCACCTATCCTAGTGTCGGTGGCTATCCTCTTGCGGAGAATGAGGATCCTCAGCCCTAAGCTCTCTGAGTCTGTGGTTGCCAGACTGGCTGTACTTGTTGATTTACCATTGTAATTGGTCAAAGGAGTATCAAGAGGTATCTGGTGGATTACTGGGTGTCAAACATAATCCAGCCTGCCGCATTGTGTGAAAGCAGTCCTCCCCTCCTGTACCCCTGCCAAGAGAGTAATGCCTCTGCTTGCTGCTCGTCTGTCTATTCAAAGAGCTCAAAGTGAACGAGCAACAGTCATAGCTTAATGTTGAATAAGACTTTTTTGTGACTTCTAGTGGAAGGATTTCTCCCTCTGGGAGCCAGGACCTCTAAACAGCCAGACAGAGTTGCAGGATCTATAAGCATAAAATTTCCAGGTGAATCACTGGGAGTGATGGTGAGTACAGCCTTCTTCCCCACCCCTCCCCCTATCCCTTGACTTCTGGACTCATGAATTCTACCTACTGTGGACGCAGTCCTTCATAATGGTCATTATCGTTAAGGTGCATACTGCATCCTAGAAGATGGTATTTCCAAGACAACTCAGCATTAAGTCATCCCCATTATTTGATCAGGCTGACAACTTCTGGGTGGAATGGTGGGTAATGGGATCAGTGGATCCCCTGATGTGCCCACAACATGCCTCCCTGGCTGTAAAGTGAGGCCCTCGATCCTTTGTGATACTCTACAGGATTCTCTTAGTGGGTGAAACATTGAAAGGATAGTGGATGGATAGGGATGTTGTAAAGATAAATCAAAATATGTAATATATGACCATTCCAGTCAAGGGAAATCACTGACCCTTGAAGGATGGAAGGAGTCCAATACAACCAGCTTACCACTGGATGGTTAGTTGGTCCCCATGAGGGATGGTGTTTTATTAGGAACTCAATGTTGTTCCTGTTGGCGTACTTGGACATTCAGCAGTGACATTAGCTAGACCATCCCTGACAAGTAGGAGTATAGATTACTAATTAGTAATGTATTTTTGTATTAAATAATCAGCTTTTGAATTTATTTCTATTAGTTTTACTGTTTTCCGTTCATTAATTTCTCTTTGTATTTTTATTAATTTCTTCTTGTTGATTTGCTTTAGTGCTTTGTTATTTTATTGTGGTGGTTATTCTTTTTCTGACTTTCCCTACCCACCCTTTTTAAAAGTCAGAGGACCTCTGAATGTCTTGTCACAGAAAGCTTTTGGGGCAGGTATTGGCTAAATGCTGCAGTCTGCTGCCCCAAGGGCTCATAATGACTTCCCTTCTTTCCTTCACCTCCTAAGGTGGGTAGTCATTCTTGGCTACATATCTTTATCTTGCTCATATTCAGGGACACCAAACAGTTTCCAGGAAGGCATCAAGTTTCTTGCTAGGATAAGAGGCCTGTTGTGCTTTTTGTGGTGTGCGTGCGTGTGTGTGTGTGTGTGTGTGTGTGTGTGTGTGTGTGTAGTCCCAGGAAGGAGCTTTTCCAATGCATTCTTGAAACTGCCCTTGGCTTAGAAGGAAAGTAATAGAAGACACAGTCTTGGACCTTAGGGAGTAGCTTCCTATGGACATCAACAAATGGATGGAGGGGTAGGTCCAGGTTGTCCCAAATGTACTTCAAGTCTTTGTGGTTCAGTTGGGGAAGGCTTTCCTTTAATCTGCCTAAGCCTCAATTCCCCGTTCTATCAAATGTCCTTGCTGGGTCATTGTGTGGATTAAATGAAATGCCAAGTACAGAGCTTGACATCTAGTACGTTTATTGTTATATGGATGTTATAGTCGTCATGGGCTCTCTACATAGCATGCAAGCTGTCCTGAGGGCAGGCAGTCCTCTGAATCACTCCATTATCGCCCTAACATTGAGTATACATACTACTCTATAAATGCTTGTAGGAGCTAACTGAATAATTTCTTTTCTTCTTAAGTTTATTATTTGTTTTGAGAGAGAGAGAGAGAGAGAGAATGAGAGAAGAGAGGGGAAGGGCAGAAAGAGAAGGAGAGAGAGAATCCCAAGCAAGCTCTAGCATAGAGCGCAATGTGGGGCTCAGTCTCATGAACTGTGAGATCATGACCTAAACTGAAATCAAGAGTCAGACTCTTAGCCAACTGAGCCACCCAGGAGCCCCTAGTTTTATTTTTAATTGCTAAAACTTTGAAGTAACTAAGACGTCCTTCAGTAGGTGAATGGATAAATTAGGGTTCATCCAGACAATGAAATATTACTAAAAAGAAATGAGATATCAAGCCCTTCAAAGGCATGGAGGACACTTAAATGCAGTGAGAGAAGCCATACTGTAAAGGCTACCTACAGCATTATTCCAACTTAGGACATTCTGGAAAAGGCCGAACTCTGCAGACAGTAAAAAGATCAGTGACTTCCAAGGGTTAGTGGGGAGGGAAGAATGGATAGGCAGAGCACAGAGAATTTTTTTAGGACAGTGAAACTATTCTGTATGATACTACAATCGTAGATATATGTCATTATACATTTTTGTCCAATCCATAGAACCTAAAACACCAAGCATGGACCCTAATGGAAACTGTGGACTTTAGGTGATGGTGATGTGTCAATGCAGTTTCATCTGTTGTAACAAATGTGCCACTGTGGGGCAGGACGAACACAGCAGGGGAGGTTGCCCATGTGTGGGGGTTGGGCACATACAGGAACTCCTATACTTTCTGTTCAATTTTTCTATGAACCTAAAATTACTCTTAAAAAATACATTCATAAATAAAACATTAAAAATTTGTAAAAAATACATCCCATTTAAATAAAAGCAAGCCAGATGAATGAGTAATGAATTTATGTAATGGGGTTCCTGTGGATAGGTGCTGGGGTCCAAGTGATAGGCAGTGCATCCAGGGAGTAAGCAGAAAAAAATGAAAGTCTTTTTTTTTTTTTTCACAAATAGTTTATTGTCAAGTTGGTTTCCACATAACACCCGGTGCTCATCCCCACAAGTGCCCTCCTCCATGCCCATCTCCCCCTCCCCCCCCACACCCATCAGTCCTCAGTTTGTTCTCTGTATTCAAGAGTCTTTCATGGTTTGCCTCTGTCCCTCTCCCCCAATACTTCCCCCCTTCTCCTCCCCCACAGTCCTCTGTTAAGTTCCTCCTAAGCCTCCTATACGTGCAAACATATGGTATTTGTCTTTCCCTGCCTGACTTATTTCGCTCAGCATAACCCCCTCAAGGTCCATCCATGTTGCTACACGTGGCCAGATTTCATTCTTTCTCATTGCCATGTAGTATTCCATGGTATAGATAAACCACATCTTTTTGATCCATTTGTCTGGTGATGGACACTTAGGCTCTTTCCATGTTTTAGCTATTGTGGAGAGTGCTGCTATGAACATTGGGGTACATGTGCCCCTATGCATCAGCACTCCTGTATCCCTTGGATAAATTCCTAGCAGTGCTACTGCTGGGTCCTAGGGGAGTTCTATGGGCCTATCTTCCCCAATCTTTTCTTGAAAAGAATCAACTCAGAACAAATTTTAAAAGGTTATAACCATATTCTTTTTAATCATTCAAAAGTGAAAATAGCTCCTTTTGGGGCATCTGGCTGGCTCAGTCAGGGCCATGAGTTCAAGGCCTATATTGGGGGTAGAGTTTACTTTTTAGAAATGAAAAATAGGGTGTCTGGGTGGCTCAGTTGGTTAAGTGCCTGCCTCTTAGTTTAGGCTCAGGTCATGATCTCACAGTTGGTGAGTTCGAGCCCCACATCGGGCTCTGTGCTAATAGCTCAGAGCCTGCTTGGGATTCTCTCCTTACCTCTCTGTCTGCCCCTCCCCTGCTCTCTCTCTCTCTGTCTCTCTCTCTCTCTGTCTCTCTCTCTCTCTCAAAATAAACTTCAGGGGTGCCTGGGTGGCTCAGTCGGTTAAGCTGCAGACTTCAGCTCAGGTCATGATCTCACAGTTTGTGGGTTGAAGCCCTGCATTGGGCTCTGTGCTGAGAGCTCAGAGCCTGGAGCCTGCTTTAGTTTCTGTGTCTCCCTCACTCTCTCTGCCCCTCCCCCATCCTCTAACTTTCTCTCTCTCTCTCATACACACACACGAATAAATAAACATTTAAAAAATTTTAAATAAACTTTAAAAAATGAAAAATAAAAAGTATTCCTCTCCTCCAAAAGAAAAAAGAGCTCCTTTTGACTCTGATAAGTAAAAAGCATATTCTTATAACCAAGATTACCTATTTTACTGAAAACGATGTCACTAAGAAAATTGGCACTAACTGTACTTTTTAAAAAATGTTAAGTTTATTTACTTATTTTTGAAAGAAAGAGTGAGAGAGCACAAGCGCAGCGGGGAGGAGGGGTGTTGCAGAGAGAGAGGAAGGCACAGAATCCCACACAGGCTCCAGGCTCCACACCATCAGTGAGATCATGACCTGAGCTGAAGTTGATGCTTAACCGACTGAGCCACCCAGGTGCTCCTTTACTTAAGTTTGATTATGTGATCATGTTTAGAAAGTAGCAACATGGAGGCAGGCATTTTTTCCTCTAAGCCAAAGTCGGAGAATCAGCTCTCCAAGACCAGTGCATCACAGTCAGCTCAGTTGGCCTACCATTGTGCTGGCCGTTGTTGCATTTTCACACCACCTGGGGAAGCCCAAATCACAAGTTCCCCGTAGGGAGCTATCAAAGGGTTGTGGGAAGCTGCTGGGAGCCGATGTGGTTAAAGTAGTATCTTGTGAAGACTAATATGTCAGCTGTGACAAGAACAGATTCAATCAGGGAAAAAAACAGAGGCAGAGAAATGTTACATGATGTTATCACAACAGACAGGAGGTGATAAGGACCCAAAGTCTGGTGAGAGCCATAGCATGCAAGAAAGGAGTATGAGATGTAGGGATAAGTGAAAAGTCAAGACAGTGGCGGAGAAGCTGGGCACTGGGTACAGGTATATGGCCTTCTCCCTTGGGAGGTGTGATGTAAGGCCCAAAATGAAGGCTCAGTATTAGGTGCTGACTTGACAATTGGTAAAATCATGAGAGTCTCAAATGGCCTATTTACAAGTTCCCCTCCCCCACTCCGTTCCCACAGGTAAGATTCTCTTGCCAAGGGGACCAGGCACAGCTCCTGCTTAACCCTGAGAAGTGAGTTCCATTTCCCTACTAGCCTATGGAGCATTTCAAACAGACCAATCACATCTTCCCATGGGAGCCAGGAGTCATTTCTCCATCTTGATACCACAAAGCCTGCTTCCCATAGCCCTGATTCCTGATCTGCTCTGTTCTCAAGTACAGCCCATGCTTGGCCCTGCATGGCTTGCAGTGTCTTGTCTTACCTCCCTGGGTGGTGAGTATATGTGGCTCTGGGTATATGTGTGTTGGGTATCCCCTATTCAGTCATTCCCAGAACCCTAGGTAGGAATCCTCCTCAAAGAATGGGGTGAATAAAAAGTAGTTAAAATTG